CCGGAACTCCGCACTTTTGTTGCGGACTACGTCCGCTCCTGCACAGTCTGCAAGCGCAACAAGTCTCCGCGTCACAAGCCTTATGGTTTGCTGAAGCCCCTGCCTATTCCGCTCCGCCCCTGGGACTCCATTTCGATGGATCTCATCGAACAGCTCCCCGCATCCGGCGGATACACGGATATCTTGGTGGTGGTGGATAGACTGTCCAAACAAGCCATTTTTGTTCCGACAGACTCCCGCCTCACCTCCGCAGAGCTTGCGCGACTGTTTGTGCTCCACGTCTTCTCCAAACATGGTGTTCCTGGCCATGTAACCTCCGACCGCGGCTCCGAATTCGTCTCCCACTTCTTCCGCAGTTTGGGGGAAGCCCTGGACATGAAGCTCCACTTCACATCCGGCTACCACCCAGAAGGAGACGGACAGACAGAGTGGGTCAACCAGACGCTTGAGCAGTATTTGCGGACCTACTGTAACTACCAGCAGGACAACTGGCATGAACTCCTCCCACTTGCGGAGTTTGCGTACAACAATGCGCCTAGTGCCACAACTGGTGTTTCACCATTCTTCGCCAATAAGGGTTATCATCCGAACATCTCTGTTCACCCTGAACGCGATCTTGCGAGTTCCGCAGCCCGCGACTTTGCGGTGCGACCTGCAGGAGCTCCACGAACACCTCCGCACCAGTATCGCCAGCGCGCAGGAGTCCGCACGCCGCTATGCGGACCAGAAGCGCTTACCTCCGCCAGACTTCAAGGTGGGCGACCGAGTTTTCGTTAAGGCCCAGTTCTTCCGCACAACCAGACCTACCAAGAAGCTTTCGGAACAATACTTTGGCCCTTACGAGATCATTGCCCAAGTTGGAACGGTTTCCTACACTCTCCGCCTCCCCGACTCTCTCCGCGCTGTTCACCCTGTCTTCCACGTCTCTATGCTCGAACCGCATTACACCTCTCAGATTCCGCATCGCCACGAACCGCCTCCGCCTCCAATCGAGGTGGATGGGGAACTTGAATACGAGATTGCGGAGATCCTCGACTCCAAATTGGATCGTCGCCGCAAACATTGCAAGCTCCTCTACGAAGTGCGGTGGCGCGGATACGAGAATACGGACGAGGAACGCAGCTGGCTCCCTGCCACAGAGCTTGAACATGCCCAAGAGATCGTTGGAGAGTTCCACAAGAGGTACCCGGACAAGCCTGGTCCCCATTGGTGATTCCCCGCATTTCCCCGCATTCCCCCGCATTCCCCGCATTCCCCGCATTCCGCAGTTGACTCCGCATTTCTTCTTCACCTTTGTATCCCTTTCTACTTTCCAAGTTCCGACTTTACTTTTCTTCCGCTTTCCGCAATTTTCCGCATCCTGTTTCTTCCGCTTCTTCCTCTTCAATTTGTGATTCCGCGTTACTCCTTTCCTCTCTATGTTTCCTCCACTCCTCTATGCCTTACCTGTTTGACATTTTTCTCCTGTTCCGCATTCCTCTCTTCTTGATGTTCTCACTTACTCCACTTATTCCACTTGTCTTTATTTTCCTCCGCTTCACTATGCCTTCCCTTACTCCGCACATTATGCTTCAATCTCTCCTTTACCTCCGCTACTCTTTCCTCATTTTCATTTCCTGTCCGCACTTTCCATTTCCACTTCATGAGGACAAGAAATTGTTTTTTCACTTCTCCGCAAACACAACGCAGAGTCACAAGCATGCTGATGATGCCGAGTTGCAAAATGCGGACATCAGATTCTGTGCATGGACCGAGTCCTAACACAAGCCTCGAGGGCTCGGCCTTAACAGGGAGGTACTGTTAGGGGTCTCAAACATCCACCCACATCTATCCACAACCCACCAGCCTTGACCCACACTCCCCGCACAGTCTCACATGATCTCCCGCATGATCCCGCACATCCCCACACTCGCCATCACCTTTCTGCATCCCACATCCCCATATCTCCGCGACCCTTCCCTCCGCACTCCCGCATGCTCCGCAGTCGATCCGCATGCGGAGTTTACGGGCGCTAGACACTCCGCTCCGCATTTATGCGGAGCGCCGCCGGTACGACACGGCCCGCAACTGAGGGCCGGTGCGGACCGTGCGGAGAAACCTCGTAACCGCCCTCTAGGCGCCCAGACTCTGCATGTGACCCTTTATACTTCCTTATGACTCCCTTCCTTGCTTTGCTATTGTTCTTTGGAATCGTCTTACTCATCCTCTTCGCATTCCGCGGTATTCCGCATTTCTTATGACTCAGTTTTATCTCTTGTCCCAGACTTGTCCCAGAGTATATCCAGAGTATCTACAGATATATAAGCTAGCTAGATTTCTGTAGTAGATACTCATCCGGAATCTCGATTCAGACTTATACAGAACTTCTCCTCTGTCCAGTCTTGAGCCTTCAGGCTTGCTAGAGCTTTTCCGCACACTCCGCATTTCCGCACAGTGCTCCTGATTCCGCTCCGCAAGGCTCTCTCCTCTCTCTCCTCGTCTTCCGCCGTAAGGCGCGTCTCTCTCTCCCTCTCCTCCCCTCTCCTTTCGGGTTGGACCATATACCACCAGCGTGGGCACAACGCAATACGTTGAGGCCAAGGTCCCTTCGACTCCGCAGACTCCGTAGTTCCGTAGAGTCTAACATGCACCGGCAACGCCGATCGTTGTCCCTGCATTCCGGCTCCCCTGGTACACTGGTTGACCTGCCGATCAGGTCTCACTCTGGCAACTCTGGTTCCCTCACACCGTCAAGATTCCACCCTGCGAGTTTAGACCGCACTTTGTCATCCACCGGCCCAACACTAGCCACTACCGCGACGGGTATATAGGCAAGAAGCCCGCACTCTGCGAACAGCAACCCTGCCCGCACCGTTATAACCCACTCCGACAACAAGACCCGGACTACCTCCGAAAGAATCTCCCAGCAGACGCCCTCATTCTTGAGGCTTCGACCGACAACTACCGCACAGTCCTCTATTCCGCACACCCACCACCGTCGCCTTCCGCACCACCAGCAACCCCACCCCCTGCCACTGATCAACCTCTACCCGAGGAATCCCCGCAAGCATTTCACTCTGCCGAATCCTCCCCTGCGTCTACCGCCAAGACCGCCAAGGGTTACGCTTTACCCACCGACTCGTCCGAAGAATCCGACACCCAGGAAACCGCAGTAAACCCCTCCACCCCGCAAACCCCCGTTGAACCGTCACCCGCACTAGCCCTCGACGCCGCCCTTGCTAAACTCACCGCTTCCACACCCGTTACCTCTCGTCACCGCATCTCCGGATCCGGCTCCGCCACCCCACGTCCGTCGCTTAAGCAACCAATCCGTTCCCCTCTCCCCGGCCCTATTCCCCAGAAGGAGGAGGTTGCATCTGACGCTCAACGCTCAGACATCGTACCTTCTACTTCAACTACTTCTCAACTCTCTTCCACCCTTCCCCCCGTCACAAACCCTCGCACTACCTCCGTCATGGCCGACCCCACGCTAACCAAATTGTTGCAAGAGCAGCAGCGCGCCACTCAGCTCATCCAAGCTTCCCTGGACAAGCTCACCGCCGCCAAGACCGCTTCAACTCGAAATCCGGTCAAGGAGCCCGAGCCCTTCAAGGGTGAATCAGGCGACGCGCAGCGCTTCCTCCGTTTCTTCTCCAACTGGGCCACCTCTAACTCCGAGCTCAAGGACGACGACAAGAAGAAGATCTCGTCCGCCCTCTCGTATCTTCAAGGCAGCGCTGGCTCTTGGGCACTCCAGTATCTCGACCAGATCGCCGAACACGAGGCAGCTGCCACAGATGAAGACAAGGCCAAGAAACCGTGGCCCTTTGGAGGCAAATGGTCCGAGTTTGTTGTCGCCTTCAAGAAGCGCTTCCAACCTGCCGACCAGGAGAAGGCTGCAGAGGCTCAGCTCGAAACTCTCACCCAAGGAAGGAAGTCCGCATCACAGTTTGCCGCCGAGTTCATGGAGATCTTCCCCCGCACCGGCTTATCTCAGAAGGATGGCATGGCCCGCTTCCGCCGCGAAGCTCAACAACCGTGATCGCATCATGTTGGACCTTATTGCCGTCACCAAGCCTGCTGACAAGAAGCCGGCCACTCTCCAGGATTACTGCGACATCGTAAACGAGAATGACTTCACCTTCTCCGGCGGCAGTACTCCCTTCCCCACCTCTACGACAGCTCGCTCTGCCCCAGCTCGTGACCCCTTTGCCATGGACATCGATGCAACCCGTGTAGGACCCAACGGCAAGTCTCGCGATGACTTCCTCCAAGCCATGCGCGGACGGTGCTTTGGTTGTGGTTCGACCACCCATGTCAAGAAGGACGGAAACCACGGCAGTCTCCGATGCAACTACTGCCAACGCATGGGTCACTCGTCCAACGTCTGCCAGGACAAATATATGGGTATCACGCCAGGTCGAGGTCTTGCCCCACGCCGCCGCATTGCTGCCACTCAGGAAGCTCCGTTCTCCCTCTTCAACGAAGGCTCATCCGCTCCCACCGCTACTGCCACTGTCGCTGCCACCCCGTCCCCTTCTGTCGATATTAACGCCATCAATGCCGCCCAGCAACGTCAACTCGAAATCCTGGCCAAGCTTGAGCAGCTCCAACAGGATTTTTGAAGAGGGTGCTTGCTAAAGCCGCAACGCTTGCACCCCTCTCTCCGCGTATGCCGATCTCCGAGTATGATTCCATTCGTTCATGTACTATTAGCTCAGTTCGCGAAATACACCCTGGTTCATCCCACTTTCGCATCCGGATCAGACTCAGAGGCAGGAACCGAACGGCAAATCCTCCGGCAATGATTGATTGTGGCGCCACTGGCAAGTTCCTGGACAAACCCTTTGTGGCCAAACACCGCATCACCACCTACCCCCTCCGGCATCCTATCCAACTCCTTAACATCGACGGTACCCCAAACCAGGCTGGCCATATCACCCACTTCTCTCGACTCGAACTCACGGTGGACGAACACACCGAGTGGACGGACTTTCTCATCTCCGATCTTGGAGGTGAGGATGTCATTTTGGGACTCCCTTGAGCTTCGCAAGATCAACCCCCAGATCGATTGGCGGAAAGGCACACTCCACATCCCTGCCCCCAAGGTTGCCAGTGTCACTATTGAGGAAATCCCAGACGAAGACGCTCAGATCCCTTACCGAGGAGCCCCTTCCGGTAACGCCATTCTGGAGCAGATCAGCAGCTCTGACGTAACTGCTGCCCCTGATCCCCACACCTGTTTTTCCCGATCCCGCTCCAGATCCGACTCCAGATCCTGCTCCGGAACCCGAAGAGGAACCGCCATTGCTCCGCATCCGTGCCAACCGCGTCACCCGTAGGAAATGGGTCCGAGCGGGATTGATTGAAGCCACTGGCGACGAACTCTGGTGTGCAGCCGGGTTCACTTATTCCCAGAAGATTGCTGAAGAAGCGCAGAAGACCAAACCCCAGAAAACGTTCGAAGAGATGGTTCCTCCGCATTATCGCCAACATGCCTCCGTCTTCTCCGAATCCGAGTCTCACCGCCTCCCTGAGCACAAGCCTTGGGATCACGCTATCGATCTCATCCCCGGAGCTCCGGCTACCATGCGTACCAAGGTCTATCCCATGTCCCAGAATGAGCAGGAGGAACTCAACCGTTTCCTCGACGAGAACTTGAAGAAAGGCTACATCCGTCCCTCCAAGTCCCCTCTTTCGTCTCCGGTCTTCTTCGTCAAGAAGAAGGATGGTAAACTTCGCTTCGTCCAGGATTATCGTCGGCTCAATGAGATCACTGTCAAAAACCGCTACCCGCTTCCCCTTGTCTCCGATATCATCAACCGTCTCCGTGGTGCCAAGTACTTCACCTGTTACGAATTCCGCCCCTATCTTTTCTCTTCGCGTCCTTTCTCTATCACATGACTCTCTTTCTTGTTCACATGATCTCTTTCTTTATCTCGTGACTGTTTTATCAGTTAATTCTTCTTACTGCTGCGGCGCAGCCTTCTTTGACTCTTTATGACTCCTTCTTGCTGCGGCGCAGCCACTCTCTATTGTTCTCTAATTTATCTCTGCTGCGCTCCGCAGTAACCTGTGCTCGCGCAGCCCTTTTCTCTGACTTCTCTTGACTCATATTCACGTAGCTAGATAGGTATATAAGCTCTGTAGATACCTCTCTTGTTCCTTAGCTAGTTCTCGTGAATCATACCCACTTCTCCTCTTCTCTCGAACTCGCTCTAGTCGTCTTAAGACAATACCTCTTGTGAGGCACTCTTAGACGCCTATACCCTCGAACTCGCCTCGGAACCACGACTCTACGGTCGACGTGCATGCTCCCTTGAGTTCGCGTCCCTTGACCGTAACAGAAGAACTAGCTCCTACACATCGTCACTCGTACTTACGGGTGACGACCCCATCGACCACACAGAATTCCCACATACTCGGCATCTGATCCCCCGGAACGACTCCCTACACCACCGCCATTTGTCGACCCAGTAGCCACCCTAATTGCCTCAACACCCGGATCCCAGTCAACCACACCCAGAGGACGTCTCCGAGGGCTTACCCCAAGCTCAACCAGACCATCAACACCATCTTTACTAGCGGTTAACCAATCGCTCCCTGAAGAAGAAACCGAAGAAGAACAAGAAGACTCGGAAGACAAGACAGACAACACCGACTGCAGCAACTTCGTACACCAGTTTAACTGTGAACACTACGACACCAACGAAGAAGACTGGTTTAACTGCGCCCAACAACCTTGCCCCAACTACCCGGAAGACCCAAGACATCGACCAAGCAAACAAGAACCCTCAGAAGTTTCTTTTGAAGAAGAGCCTTCTGCAGAATTCCAAGACGCCCAAGAAGAACCCAGCACTGAGCCACAGCATCAAGAGGAAGGACCCTTGATTCCAGAACGTGAAGAGGAAGAACCCTTTACGCCAATCACCCTTGAACAATCAGTCACCATGGTCAGCCCAGCCAACCCAGACAACGGAACCCGAGACGTCGTAATGAGCGACGAAACCAACCAGAAGATCCCCGAAAGGCGAATCAATCCGCCATCCCCTTTCACCGGCAAAAAGGAAGACCGTCAACACCTTCCTCAAAGACGTGAAACTTTACTTGAAGGGTCAACAAGCACATCTACACCGATGACGACAGCAAAATCACCTATCTCCTTTCATTCCTCAAAGGAGACGAAGCCTCCGCTTGGAAAGAAGCATGGCTACGTTCCAAGGAAACCGATTCCGATATCGAATTGGGCACCTGGAAGGACTTTGTCGCCATCTTCAAACAGGCGTTCACCCCGATCAACGAACAAGAAGACGCCTTACAGCGCTTGAAGACTATGACCCAAGGGAAGAAGACGGCTGAAGAACATGTAGCCGACTTCAAGATTGTCCTATCAAAAACCAACCTTCTCTCCAAAGACCACGCCAACAAAACCGAAGATCAAAGAGTTGCAGACGCTGGAGACACTGTAGCCCGAGACTACTTCCAAGCCAGTCTGAACGATCCGCTTCGAAAGAAGCTCTTCGACCTTGAGAAACCCCCTCGAACCTTCAAGGAGTGGACAGAGAAGGCCATTGAAAAGGACAACAACTACCGTCGCTACTTTGCCCTCACCAACAAGGCCTCGACCAAAACTTCGACCTCAACCAGGCAGTGGAACTTCAGTCGCCCCGCTCCTGCCAAGGACCCTATGGCCATGGACATCGACACCATCATCTCCAAAGTCAAGGGCTTAGACCAGTCTGCAGGGACCGCTTTAGAGCAACACATCAGGGCAATCGGCCTTGGAAAGCTCTCTCCCCAAGAGAGAGCCGACCTGATCAAGAGAGGAGGATGCTTCCGTTGCCGAAAGGACGGACATCGCTCCTGGGAATGCCCCAATAACACCACCAACAATCGCTCTGCAGGGACCAGCAACCAGAACACCAGTAGCCGTCAAAACTGGTCTTTCCGCCCAAAGAATGGCAAGGATCTCTACACCAACATCCGGGCTGCAATCCAAGAAGCAGGAGAGGAAGTCGTTGAAAGAATTTTACAAGGAACTCGAAACCAACCCCAGGGTTTTTAGAATGGAGACCTGCATCGACGTCAGTGTCTCCCTATTTATCGATTCATTCTGCCTTAGTAGCCCGAAAGAACAATAAATGCTTATTTATTCCAATGCATCTTGAGGGCGAAACGGAGAGTGGAAAGATAATCGTCGACACCGAAGGAATGATAGATTCTGGAGCTGGAGGGAAATTCATCGACCAAAATTTCGCCCGAAACAAGAGACTCCCGCTCCAACTCCTTCCAACCCCTCTGAAAGTCTACAACGTAGACGGAACCCTGAATAAACAAGGAACCATCCGATACTCGACCACCATGAACGTCACTATCCACGGACACACACAACCCATTACCTTCTACATGACCGGCCTTGGAAAACAGAAGGTCATCATGGGTTTTCCCTGGCTTGAGGAAGCCAACCCCATCATCGACTGGAGGAAGGGTACCCTCGAGTGGCGACAGAGCCCTCCGTCAACACCGCCGATCACTCCTACCAAGCCATACACCCAGATCTTCAAGACCACTGTCGAAGAAATCCCGGACACCGAACCTCAGAACTTAGACCCACTACCTGATTGGTACCCAACCACCTCTCCTATGATACCCAAGGATCACTTTGACACCTTCGAAACCTACGTCAATGAGCTGATGGAAGGGAACTTCCATTGGGATAATGACGAGGGATCTCTCTTGACCGACGACCTAGTGATCTCATTCATCAATGGAGAACTTTCTGACGAAACGGAAGACATCTGGATCAACACCACCCTCACCCACTCGCAGGCCTTCGAGCTCAAGTACAACCAGCGAGAAGAAATCAAGGACATCAGGCAACATGTACCTCCGGAATATCACGAATACCTCTCTGTCTTCGACGAGAAAGCGGCCTCCCGATTCCCCGAATCTCGTCCCTGGGACCACAGGATAGATCTGAAACCAGGATTCGAACCAAGGTCATCCAAGGTCTACCCGCTCACACCGGAGGAAGAGAAACTTGTCAAGGAATTCATCGATGACAACCTGGCCAAAGGATACATTCGACCGTCGGACTCTCCACAAGCATCTGGATTCTTCTTCGTCCCCAAGAAAGACGGAAAGAAGCGCCCATGTCAAGACTATCGCTACCTGAATGAATGGACCGTCAAGAACGCCTATCCCCTTCCCCTGGTTACAGACCTTATGGACAAACTGAAAGGAGCCAAATACTTCACCAAGCTCGATGTCCTGAAAGGTTACAACAATATCCGTATACGCGATGGAGATCAGTGGAAAGCAGCATTCAAAACGAAATTTGGCTTACACGAACCTACGGTCATGTTCTTCGGCATGTGCAACTCCCCAGCAACCTTTCAAGCAATGATGGACCACATATTCTCTTTGCAGATTGGAGGGAATTTCGTCATCATCTACATGGACGACATTCTTATCTTCTCCAAGACCAAGGAGGAACATGAACGACACACCAAGGAAGTCCTTCGGATCCTCCGCGATAATGATCTCTACGTCAAACCCGAGAAATGTGAATTCACCAAGGAAAAGATTGCTTACCTCGGATTCATCATCGAACGAGACCGAATCTCCATGGACCCAGCAAAGGTTAAAGGACTCCAAGACTGGCCTGCACCACAAACCATCAAGCAAGTCAGATCCTTCCTCGGCTTCGGAAACTTCTACCGGAAGTTCATACGGAAATACTCCGACATCGCTCGACCGCTCAACGAACTCCCTCAAGAAGAACCAAGCATTCAAGTGGACCGATGAATGCCAAGAGGCCTTTGACACCCTGAAGAAACGCTTCTGTGAAGAACCTGTTCTCATGATGCCCGACATGTCCAGACCATTCCAGATCGAATCTGACGCCTCCAAATACGCCTCCGGAGCAGTCTTGACACAGATGGACTCCAATGGTAACCGCCACCCAGTCGCCTTCTTGTCCAAGTCCTTCTCCCCTGCCGAACGGAATTACGAGATCTACGACAGAGAACTCCTTGGAATCATTCGAGCACTTGACGAGTGGCGCCACTACATCCAAGGAAGCCCCCATGAAACTCTGGTCTATTCCGATCACCTCAACCTCACATATTTCCGATCTCCGCAGAAGCTCAAACCTCGACAAGCACGTTGGCAATTGAAACTGTCAGAGAGCGCCATCAAGTTGTCACATCTACCCGGACACAAGATGATCCTATCGGATGCCCTGTCCCGACGCCCCGACCTGTGCCCTGAAGAAGACCACGATAACGAAAACATCACCCTGCTACCGGAAGAACTATTCGTCAACCTCGCCGACTTGAAAACCCTCACCGTAGGACTGGTTGACATTGCTCTACAAGAAGAGATCGCCAAATGCCAGAATTTCGACACGGAAGCCACCGACGCCCTGAAGATCATCTTATCCGATGGACCAAAAGCCATGAAGGACGATCTACAAGATTGGACAGTAGAAGAACGTGATGGATTCCGACTCCTATTCTACAAGGGGAGAAACTATATCCCTCAGGACCTAGACCTTCGACGCAAGATCCTACATCGATACCACGATTCGCCTAACGGCAGGACACCCAGGAGAACTAGAAACCTTCAATAACGTCAGCCAACACTATTGGTGGCCAGGAATCAGAACATTTGTTAAGAACTACGTCAAAGGATGTGGTGTATGTCAGCAATTCAAGATCAACCGTAACCCATCAAAACCCGCTCTCATGCCCATCCCCACCGGCCAAATCACTCCGACCATTCTCCCAGATCTCAGCCGACTTCATTACCGACCTCCCTGAATCTAACGGATACAACTCTATCTTGTCCGTGGTGGACCACGGGTTTACAAAGGGGGTAATTTTGATCCCATGCACCAAAGA